TGAAGAAATCAGAATTACTATTTTACTTGTGGCTTATCATTAATTTTTTTACTTGGACTATATCCTGTCCTGTTTTCCTTAACAACTCTGGTCAGGTCCTCATTGAATTTATTTATATTCATTCTTAAAATTGTTAAATTTCTCTAAATTTTACACAAGTACGTGTATAACAAATTTTTCACTAAATAATTTCATATTGCTTTCACAATTGTAAATTTTACGAGTAGCTAGAGCAGTAATTTTTTGTAATCGTGTTCCACTCAGGAGCCTGCACGAAAACTGTTGCTCTCAAGCTTTAAATTCAGTTTGTGTTTAGGACAATTGAAAAGAAGTGCGCGTACATCAATTTTGGTGTTCATTGTCGCGCCTTTTGTCTCTCATTACTGTAATGCACCTTTATTCGCCGAAATGGAAATGCGTCGGACGAAAAGCGAGAAGCGTCGCATTGCGATGGGCGCACCAGATAATGGCAGAAAAACGCGGCGCGGCTTTTTGGCGTGTGACCAAATTCGCATGCCGCCGCTTTTTGATAAATTTATTTCGCTGCTTACAATTGTGTGACGTCAAGTCGCGTCTCACTGCGCGCCTTTATTGCTCTGTGTCAGCATGACAATTTGATAAGTCAAGAGAAGTTCATTTAATTTGGCTCGAAAACACACAAAAATTCGTCGCGCAATAAAAGCCACACGAGTAGAAAATTTGAATGCACTACCGAAAACGGGATTTAAAACGAAAATCTCTCTAACCTCGGCGACCTTTTGTCGCTCACGCGAAGAGCCAAAAAAAAATGAGAAAAGCGTCTTTCTTTCCCATACATATTTTAATTTCACACTCGAATTCGACGCGAATACGGCACGAAATTCGATTAGGGCTGACGATAAAACGCAAAGGACAATGGGATGCTTTCCCGGAGCGTGAACGTTTTTTGTCCCGCATTCTTCCCTGCCGGCGGGGTCCATCGACAGCGAGATTGATTGCTGAGCTCAAAATATTTGTCAGCCCCATGCCGAGATCAATTTGCCGAATTTTCCACAGCCAAGCACCACCTTTCATCTCCAGCTAAAAGAAATTTTGATTTATATTTCATTAAAAAATTTTATTTCCTGTTTTAATTTGTATTACTTTGTGAATATATCTGGAAATTTTACTTCTATATTTCAACAAATTTATTTAAATTTTTTTTAATTTAAGATATTTTGTATAATTATGTTTATATATAATTAATATTTTTAGTATGAGACGAGAGTAAATAATATTAATGAAAATAATATAAACTAACCTGATTTTCATTCTGAGAAATTAACTTATTTGGACTATTTAAGTGCAATATTTTAATGTTAACTAACACTACTGCTACAATACGAGCTACTTTAAAGGAAATATAAATTATAGGGGATTTTCAATTAAAAAGTAATACGAGTTTAATTAAAATGCGTCGAGGAGCGTGATGCAATCGCATTATGGTCACTACTTCTTCTGAAAAGAAAGAGACCGCAGCAGCAATAACAGAATATAAAACTATCTTACTCAGTCAGTATATATAAATTGCAGCAGAGGCGCGCGTTTTCTTCTTCTGGTCCACAATATTTGCTGGTCAAGGCGGCGGCGACTTCAAAGCAATTTTTCCGCGCGGTCCCACGCTCGACCAGCAGCTCTCTCCCTGCTCTCTGCAGCTTGATATGCGTTGGATACTCTTTCAGTCTGGAAATTTATAAGTACACAACTGAACCTACCAAAATTCAACTGCATTTTGTGCCAAATTGTTTAATTCGAGTTTTCAATCAGAGACGATGAAGAGAAAGAAAATAAATATCATGTTCCGAATTGATAATTTTTTTTTATATAATCGCAGAAAAACATGAAAATTCTGAAAATACGTGTAATTTAATTAAAATCCGTGGTATAGTGAGATAATTTTATTCCATGCAAAATGTGGCATATTTTCAGTTCATGAATAAATGTGACATTTTGGATCGACCTATCTTTTTTGCATAAAATAAATACAAATTTTTTTGTTCATTTGGAAGGCATAGTTTACTGGTTTAGGAATAGATTGATTGTGTCTCAACCGAGCTTGACGCCTAAATTGTTTGTTGACTGAAGCGTGTGGTCCAAACAGCCCAATTTGTCGCTAAATTGAGTGTTAAAATATGCACAACATTCCCGCTCTCGCGCCGTCCGCTCTTATCTAATATCAGCCACAGGTTGTTGTAAATTTAATGTTTTGTCGCCGCAAGGACAAATTACCCCTAATTATGTGCGAGGAGCGTGGAGCTAATATATTAAATTATTATATATTACATTAAATCATTCCGCAGCAGCACCGACCGGCGCGGCCAGAGTCGATGTTCGCCTCGTGCAGGAAGTTGGCCGTTTCTCCGGCAGGTGGCCTCGTGTCAAGGATCACACAAGTGCGCTAGCGGCACCTGTGAGCCGACTGGCGAAACTGTCTTCGGATGCAGTTAATTTAATTTATCTGATTTAATTTTCACGCCATAAATCAATCGCGACAAAACTGAATTAATTTTATAAAAGTCAAATTTTTTTGTAAGAAAATACTATTTTTTCTCCTTTTAATTTTTACAGTGTACTTTCAAGTTAATCTTAAATATGTATTTAAACTTATATCAAAATGACTGAAAATAATGTCGTTGGAAACTTTTTTCTTCTTTGTCTGCTTCTCTTTTAAATGCTCTAATTTTTATGCAGCGGTGCTTTTTCTTCGTCCTCGCTTGCTCGTCCGTCTGTTTCTCTCTCACCAGCCAGATTATTAATATTTTCGTAAATTACCCACTTCCTCTGTAAATTAAGTATGCGAATCATATTCAGCCGCCCACAAAATCCAGGTGTGTGGAAAAATAACTGGCCACCTAAATGCTGCTCTCTCTCCGAAACTCGTTGTTCACAAAACTCGTCCGTCCCTCGCTCTCTCTGATGACATGTAAATTTATTCTGGTGCGCATAATGTATCGAACCTACTTAATAATGGATGTATATGTGTGGATGTGCCGAGTTATTATACAATAGTAAAATGCGCCGAAACCATTGTTCTCATATGCATCGTGTAGACGAGTCGGTGGGTCCTCGAGAGAGCGGATTAATTATTAGCACAAAAGAAAACAATAAAACGGTACGTACTCGGTGAGCTCATTACCATTTAATTGAGCACACGGCGCGCTCTTCTGTGCTCGCCGACACGTTAGTACATGATTTGCAGATGTTTCAAAGCAATTTTCTCTCATTGGAACGTATTAAGTATACATAAATCATCAAAAAGTAAGAAAAAATAAATAAAAACCGAATTAGCTATGTTTTTTAATGGATATTAATTGAATATATGTTGATTGACAATTTGAGGGAGCTAATTTTTGTAATTAAAATATGCACAAAGTTAAACTTTTCAAACAAAAAACGATGCGATATGAAATCATAATTATACTTGATGGGTTTGAATAAACAAAATTAATATATCTTTCATTGAAAGAGTTCGGTTTTACTTGATCTAGTTAATTTTCAAAAAAAAAGTCGTAGGGTTTTATTTAAATTTTTTACACGTTTTCAAACCGTCTGATGTGCAATTTTGCTGCAGAAAATTTCATTATTCATTTTATTTAAAATCAATGCAATTATTGCAAACAAAATGCAGGCAAAATTTAAATTTAAATCTGGATTTAATTCAATTATTTCTCACCACTGTCATATTTCTCTGCAAATAATTATTTTTCATTAAAATCACACATTTAAAGGAAAAGCAGTTTGAATTATGAAAAACGTCGCTGATTCGAGCTGGTGCAGTACCGATGCTTTCTCGTTACGATTATTTCCACCTGCACAATAAAGTACAGCCCGGGTCGCTCTGCCCAGAATAAATAATCGTAATTACGTGGCCGACGCTGCGGCAATAAATTAATATTTTGGTTCGCCTCTCGCGCCAAAGCAATTGCCGGTTATAAAGTTCGAGCCGGAGAGGGAAAATAAAATTTACGTTACAGCCGGAGACGTACTGGCATTGATGGGCCATAAGTCAAAGAGATGTGCCTCGAAACATTATAATTGAGGCGGAAAAATCTGCTCTCTCACTCCATTTTTCTCTCTGTGGGACAGGTAAAGGTTTATAACACATGAAATATAGACCGTTTCTTTTTATTATTTCCAAGCCTTTTCTGTTTTCTGTTGTGTACATTTGTTCATTTGATGGACGCGCCGGCGGTTTTTCTCTCCGCTCTTTCCGCCGTCGAGAGGTTGAAGGGTCCAGCACGAGGCGATTGGTGGAGATCGTGACGCAGAGGAAGGAGCCTCCTTGACCTTAACTCGACCTCGCCTGACTGAATTGACTGCCTGGGACGCGTGTCTTCCAAAAGCCAGCCATCTTCCTCTCCGCGTGGTCCTGCAGATGCGAAAACCTGTGGGCAAATTAATTACAGGTCGTCAGTATTGTCAGTAAAAAGAATTTTGTTGATATTTGGCAAAAAAATCACTTCGAATCAAATGAGCAGATTTTCAGGCGTACATCACACTTGCTTTAGTATGAAGAGGATGAAAAAATAAGGAAAGACTACAAAAATTGAAAGTTTGCACAATTATTTATTTAACAAAATCTAATTCTTTAAATTTACAATATTTATTTTTTATTTTTCTCTTCAATATAAACCCAGAATGCTTTAATGTGGCTATATATGCAAGAAACACATTCAATAAAAAAATTATTATTGCTAATTTCTAATTTTATTAAAATATAACTTTTTTTCTGCCTATCGCATAATATTTTGCCAAAATATTTCTTTGTCTTATTAATAATTTTAACAGAATTTTTATAGCCTACAAGTACAAGAACATTTCTGTGTATGCATAGGATATTTTTTAATAATATCGGCTGAAATATAGTTTTCAATAATAATTCCACGTGACCTGATTAGATAAAATTATTGTTTGAATATAGATTCCTTTGCAACTAGAGCCAAGCAAAGCCTGACAAAATGCAGCAATACGCACGCTAAGAAAGCAATGATATAAAAAGGTCCTCACTGCAAATAACATCAGTTGCATTCGGGCCCCAGCGATGAATCTGTTATTCTGGAGCATCGTGCAAGTTCCTTGATATATTTAAATTATATCTTAGTTATGACTATATTTTTTTCCTGCAGTATTTTAGAGATTGCAGTTGCATTTTCAGATGAAAATCATGGCATTGTTGGTCTCTCCCATTCGACCAAGAAATATCACGAATTTCGGGACACTTGCAAGAGAAGCGATGATTGTAAAAAAGCAGATTGTAAATGTACTCAGTTGAGGCAAACTGAAACGTTGAACATTCATCCTGAAACTCTGCAGGAGGGTTGTGAAGAACCGCCGACATTGGTAAGTTATTTTTACTAAAATTGCAAAACATATTACAATGGAAAAAAAAACAGATTTCGAGTAGCTACTGCAATTTGTTGACGTCAGACGGAACCGAGTTTGGCATGAAATTCATTCTTGAGAAGTACGAAAACTGTGGTGAAAGTTCACCAGAAATACAAATCGAATCTGTAAAAATCGTTCTCAATCCAGAGAAATGTCGTTGTCTCTGCGGAACGTTTATCACTAAATTAGCCAGCATTGAAGATCCGGTGAGCAAATTATTGATATCTAAAATGAATTCCAACCTTAGGGAAATTTATAAAATCATAATTTGAAATTATCATATAACATACATAACTTGTTGCAGAACTCCGCAAAATCTTTCATTTTTGAAGAAAGTTGCAAATACAGTAAGAAGGCAAAAAGGGAATTTATATTTCCTAATCTTGGTATATCTAATTCGGCGGAAACATTTGCATCTGTGGCATTCCTACCATGTGGCTCCTCACATGGTTCACATGCAACTACAGCATCCTGCCAACTTCCTTAAGTTTTTAATTTGTTTTAATTAAATATGTGACAAAAGCTACTTATCAATAAATGATCACCATGCAAAATATATATTAAAATTTGGCTTTTGACTGATTGAGGCCTGAATGAAAAACGTCGGAGCAGCAGAAGGTTGCTCGCTGTCCGACCTGCAGAGCCGAGCGGCAGGTTTTGTATATTTATAGGCAGGGTATTTTGATACGTCAGGTCAGCAGGCTGTTATTTTTATCAAGCGAGCGGCGAAAAAACAGGCCAAGCATATAAGAAACTCACGCGCTTCGAGAAAAAGAGGCCTATAGCCGTGTGTTTGATATCAAGAGGTGCGTGTTTCCAATAGACCGCCTACCTCAAGGGACCTGTCACTCAAACGTTTCACATCCGTCTTGTTCACCCTTAAGCTCAACACCTCCGTGAATAAAGAGAAGAAACACACAAACGCACGGAATTCTATCTTCTTGAAAAAAAGGCTCCTTTTTTAGTCTTCAAAAAAATTCAGCCCGACTTTTTTTAGATTTTCCTCTCAGCACATTTAAAATAACCTGAAAAGTAGTTTAATCAAATTTAAAAAAGTTTTTTCTATATAATATTTTTCTATCATTTTTTTTCCATCACTGCGCGTTTCTCTTAATGACATGCAAATGGATTTCATGCTGATTATAAAATTAATTAAAAATGGAGGCAGCTCGTGAGATGAAGTCGGTTTATAAATTCAACACGCCCAACGGCGCCCATACGAAATCTCGACGACCCCCTTTCGCTTTTTGTGTGCGACGAGAGCGTGCTGGCCGGAGAGCTCTTTCGTTTTTGAATTTATTGACGAAGCTCTCTCGCTTCTTTTTTACTCGCATAGGGTCGAGTGCATTTCGTGACCATTGCACAACTCGCACACGAGATCCATCACGCCGCAACACGCACTCGAAAACGTCATTCATTTTCCGTTTTCCCTCGAACAATGCATGGTCGAGGGGCTTTTAGATAAAAAAAAAACTTGCTCAAAATGATTTATTCAAAGGGCTAACTTATCTTAAAAATATCAAGCTCAAGTTCTGAAATAAGGTTCCAATAAAAGAACGTAGAGATAAATAAATGATGAATTAAATGCACTAATTACAGAGTATTTTTACTAATAAAATAAGATAAATGATAATCATGAAATTTATTGTTTTAGTCAATAATTTAATTTGATACCACGGCACATTTTGAAAGGAGGGAATCATAATTATATTACAACATAAAATTGATTATTTGTTTTGCCTGGATTAAATTAAGAGGCATTTTACTTTTACAAAAATGACAGCTCGACAAGAAAATTAATAATTAACATTCAACTCATTAATCTAGGTAACAAATCGGAAAAGTGGTTGGCATAAAGATGCAATGCCGCAGATAAAACAACACGGAATGCAACCTGCTTCCGAGACTAATTCCGTAATTGCTGCAATTTGTAATTTCACACCAGCAAACAAGCAATTATTCGTGCATTACGTTCCCACATCAGAACAAATCTCGAGATGCAAATCAAAATTCTAATTAAAAGTTTTCCTTCTTTGAAGTTTTGTGATGGCGTCTCTGTTTGCTTGTCAGGTACATTCTCAGGTACGTTCACATCAATTTTTTTCTCATCCAGCAGCGTTTCGGAGAAACGCGCCGAGCCAACCAACGGCGGGACGCCCACCCTTTTTTTATATCTCGGCGGCGGCGATGATGATAAATGATCCACAGGTGTGGTTCGTGCCCTCGTCAGACCGAGAAACAAACAGCGTAGGTGGCAGAGATGCTGCTTTTACCATTGGGAGTTGAATCGAGCAAAAGGCGGAGCCCACGAAAGCAGAGATACACTTTTTATTTTGACTCGGAGAGCCTTTTTATGCAAATCGAGAGTGACTCAGGGTGGGTTGGATTTCGTCACTCGACAATGGCCGCGTCTACGAATTTGAAAATTAAATGAACAATGCTCATTTGTGTGTAAATCGCGTCCGGCTTTCGCAGATAAAAAACGTTCATTTTTTTCAGCAGAGGGTAAAGTTTGACTGATTTGCATACCTGCTCTCCGTTTGATTGAAAATGCGTGATTATCTCAGGCGGTCGTAAAGCTGATGGCGTGGGATTTATTAGGAATATTTGCGAAATACTCGGGCAGATATGATCTTTGTATATGTGAGGCCTGTTCAAGAATCATTTGCATTCCTTGGGAAAGTCGTGCATAATCGTTTAAATACGGAGGACTCAAAGTTGTTCAGGTTTTGACATGTTAAGCAACTGGGCCTGGAAAGGTGTCACGCAGGTTGCATACATATTTACTACCCTGAGAGAAATAATAATATATATAAATAAAATATATATAAAATGGGAATTAAAAAAAAATCGATTAATTGATAATTTATATTAATTTTTGTGCTAGAATAAAAAGGAGACAAATACATAAACTCTAATTAATAATCTTGCTCTTTGTTGATCTCCTCAATTATAAATTCATAATTGAATCAATCAGTATCAATTGTCAATTACAATCAGATTTTGTCACTCTTGCAATTTTTTTTTAAATCTTCGTAACATTAAGAAATTAAGAATGAATTAATCGATTAATAAAATATAATATTATAGATGATATTATAATATAATTATAATCCTCTATCATTTACGACGTTATGTTTGATACAAATGTAAATTTCACAAAATATTAAGCTGACATAAATTTAGCCTGAACCTATTTTAATGCAAATCAGCATTCCTGAGCCACCCCCTGAGCCTCTCCCTGTGAGCGGAGCCTCTCAAAATCGCCTCCCACGGGCAGTCAAGTCATGATCAGCAAAAGTTCAATAATAAATCTGTCTCGGGGCCGATCGAGAAAGAGAGTCGAAAGTATTTTCCATGCATATAAATTGTACAGAAAAATTTATAATATTCCTCAAGGTGAGGCAATAAATCCGTTTGCAATGGGAGGGTTGAAGACACTTTCGTATTACAATTTTGATGTTTCTAGTGATTTATAATGTCCGTCAGAACCATAAAAATGATCGAGCGCGGCGCGGTCGGGCCGGCGGATTGACTGGGTGAAATTATTTATTACGCCGCCGCGGCCGTTCTCCGACGAATAAAACCGCACTTATACATATAAACTACACGAGAGTGAGTGTTTCTGACTGAGACACTCAGCATCACGTTATTTTTCCCTAATCTCCATACTGGATCTCACCATATACACTCCGTTCCCTGGCTATACCTGCGCGCCTACCATCATGGAATTTTAATCAAGCTCATGTGAGATTTGAAACCGTCCATCCACTTTTGTTATTTATTATGGAGACGGATCGGGAAACAACAATGATATATTGTCTGCTGTCAGATTTCGCCGCTTGATATGCGCGCACCTCCATTTCTTTCTCTCTCGCTCTTGCCAAGAAATTAATTCAAGAATTTTGATTAACTTTTATACACTTGACGAGAGACCTCTCGTGTTTTTGACTGAACCAGAGAAGATGGCTTTTTAGATGTGGATATTAGATACGACAAAACGCAGCTTGCGTGACACTCCATGCATATTTTGTATAAAGACTCTGAAATAAACTTTATGGCAAATATCTGAATTTAAATCAAAAAATTTATTCTCTAAAATTTAATTTAGAAAATTCTGCCATGGTTTATGTGGCAAAAAAAGCCCAATCAACAATTTTTACTTCCCTTGATATAGAACAATATCACTAATGTCATCTCACATCTGCAAGTGACCCGATTTTAATGCAAGAAAAATACAGATGAAATTTAAAGTTAAAATTGGATCAAGAGAACATCGCTAAAAATAACAAAGGAAATTTTTATATTTTGTATTTCCCGTTTTTCCCTCAAATACGCAATAACTTTCAAACTCTGTCCAAAGGAATCCATCTCAGCTTCACAAACAAAAAACAAAAAACTATCACCTGAGTGGTGATTTATTTTATTAATTTTTTCTTAGCATTAATTTTTAAATTTAGAGATAAACATGTTCATGACTGATTCTGCAAAAGTGTGACCGTAAGCCTTGACTGTCTAGATAATCAGCTTAGGTATGTACTTAATGATTTCCACTCATTTAAAAAGAAATGGGCAAGACTCAAAGGTTGTCATGTGCAGATGTGCACTAATTTGTAACAAATGAACTGAAAGATATAAAATTATAGCTTTCATCAGCGACAATAATGTACTTAATTTCCTCTCTGGTCATTTTATAATTTAAAATAGCATTATTCAATAATTATACATACATATTTGTAGCACATTTGCATTTCCATTTATGATTTACTTTCAGCAGATAAGAATAATATTTATAAAGTTCCAGATTAAAATAAATTTACAGAATTTTTTAAACTGAATCATTGACTCTACATTGAGCATATCTATATAAAAAAATATTTTAAAACATTTTATCTTTTAAACTTTTTACATTTTTAAATAATTATTTTATTCTTGTAGAGGTACAAAAATTATTTTAGAATAAAATATAATTGCAGCTTGAAATTTTTATTTTGAATCATTTTTCCCCAGAATTTCAAATTGAAAATTTACAAACAAGAAAGTAGGATGGACTTTCCCACATTAATTATGACTGAGTGAATGCATAGGATTGTAATTACCACGAATTGGTAAGGTCAAGCGTCCGTTAATTCAATTAAAATGCCTCTCCCCCAAACGAATCTGGTTAACAATAAAAATCTCTGGTAATTCGCGGTTCTTTTCGTCCAAATCAATAAATCAAGTGTCGAGATTTTAGCACCGTGCTGATTATACATATAACGACGACCTGGCTAATTTTGAGCGGCAGAGTGGCGGATAGATAGCTCTAATTTCCAAGAGAGGTCTGCATTTGATGCGCGGCGGCCTTGGATATCGCTCAGGGCGACATTGAAATCACACACCTTGTCGGCCCTGCTGGTCAGCTACCCTCAAAAGGGGCGCCGATATCGCTATGGGCACTGCACCTTTTGTTTTCTTGTCCGTCTATCTGTTATTATTATATCGAGAGCGATCCTTTTTGGCAAAAAAAAACCATAACCCACTTTACAGGGGGAAACTTGACCCAAGGGATGGTCCACAT